TTGGGGATTTTTGTGTCTCCCCTACCCTGCAATGTACAGCCCGAAGAAGAGGCCTACAGGACTTGAAAGCTCATCTATTTACGGTATCTTGTCGTTGTGTGCCATCACGTCGCTGCGGACATATTGTGACTCTATGCATGAGCATTCCCCAAAATGTCCTTGGTGGTATCTTACTGTGTTTCACCAAAAATAAGACAGGGTCTTATATTAATTTTTGCTCCAAAAATGCATTAGGCTTATTTTTCAGGGGATGTTTTATTTTACAAGTCATGTCATCTTCCGGTTGCTGCACAAGGGTGGAGGATGGGGTTTCACTTCACTGGGGCTTATTTTTGGAGTAGGGCTTATATTAGGAGCATCCTGAAAAATCGTACTATGGCTTATTTTCAGGTTAGGTCTTATTTTCGGGGAAACGGTATACAATGGCTAGGTCAGAGAAGCAACATGTACTGCCACCATGTTTTGTTAGGAGGATGTGATCAACTGACAATGAATTTCTTACAGCCTTTTAAGTGTCATATTTGCATTTTTAAATTAATTTTTTTTAAATAAATGGCAAGTTAAGGTTGATATTTTACCTGGTCTTTTTCTAGTAACCATATTCAGTTTGTCTAATTCAGAATGCAGGATGACAGTAGCAGAAAGCTAAAAAGTAGCTATAAACCTGAATCAGAAGCCTTCAAGTCAAACAGATGGAGTTGCTGGAAGGGGTGCAACCTTTGATGGACTGGGATACCGTCACCTCCTTGACAAGCGGCAAATTTGGGTTTTCTAAGGAACAGGCACTTACAGAGTTCATCATACAGGGTGCCACCATTCATGTGCTGTTCTATAAAGATGTCACCTTGCGGGTAAAAGAAGAAGAAAAAAAGTCATCTCATTCCACCCACAACCATGCAGAACCACACATTCCGCAGGAAAGAAACATTTCGGGTAAAAACAATTGTAAAGCCAATTCTTGTAGGTTATTGCAAAACTTACTAAACGTAAGACAAGCAACAACAGGGGTTTCATTTTACTCTCCCCTTCCCAAGCAGAAAGACGTTTCACTGTTAAGTTCTTAACAATAGTGCCTAAAAATATCTTAAAACGAGGCAGTGCTGACAAAATGGGAATGGCAGGATTAAAGCAACCACCACCAACCACTTATCCACCCACTCCATCTCTTCTGAAACTTGATCTCCCCGTTGGTTTGCAACAAGTCAGATTTGGGATAGAGAGTGAGTTGTTCCTCCATAGATCTGAATTTGGGGTTTAGGTGTTCTTAAACATTTAAAAACCACCACTCGGCAGCCTTACCAGTATTAGGATGGTGTGCAAACTGGAGCCAAACAAGAAGCTCCCAAAAGGGGCCATTATAATAATATAAAAGGAAAAAAGAAAATACCATGGCTGAAATCCTATTGTGTCATAAGAAAATTAGCATAAATCTTGGTGCCAAAGAGTTGCAGGTTAAGAGGTCAGTGTAGGCATTTGCTATTGTATGCTGAGTTGACTTGGTGTGCAACAGCAAATGCCTTTGCTGACTTTTTAATTTGCATTAATCCGCTACTAAGGTTTAACATGGTTTACATTATGTCGATGGACGTAAGAAATGAAATTCGGGCCAATAAAATGGAATCAGCCAATTAAAATGGGTTGGCAAAATAGTTTTTCAATTTAGTGTAGAAAGTGACCTTTTTTTGCCTTACAACTCCTTAAATTTGACAGCCACCTTGCCTTCCACAACTGAGATGCCTCTCCTTCATTAACACATAATGAATTTTAGGAATTTGGAGGAGAGTGCTTGTGAGAGGGCAAGTCACACATAAACTACGTACTGGGAGAGATGCTCCTGCTGACACATGGATTCCAGGTAATCCATGGCTTTAAACGAGGGGTGGGTATTGTGGGATACATGAGCTATGGATGTTCTTGTGTCTCTCGACAGTCTCTTGAGCCATTCTTCTCAACCAAAATCCCTACAATTCACAGAGAATTGGCTTTCCAAGAGGTTATGAGTTTCCTTTCATAACGAGGCACATCTCCTTTCTTATTTTAGAAGAACATCTGGTTTTCTTTTAAATACTAGGGTTTTCTTGAAGCTAGTAGTGACCTTCTGGTCACAGCTGGTTTCGCATAGAAGGACTGGTGTGCTCCCCAACCTACGAAGGTCCTAGAGATGGGGAAATGGTCCCAGATACTCCTGCCTTAAAGGTAAGCCCTGGCACCTTCTATTTCGCCTGGCAGTAAACAGGGCCTCTACTTTCTAATCTAGAGGAGCAAAACCTTTTGTATTTGATTCTGTTAAAGAGTGTTGCTCCACATCAAGAAGCATCTCTGCTGTGACCATCTGCAAGCCGGCCCTTGCCACGGTGAAGTACGGTTGGAAGAAAGCTGCTGGCCGCACCTGGTAGAAAATACGACCGCTCACTCAACACTCTTCTCCTTTTAAGACAACAGGTAATTTGATCTCCGTAAGTAGCACTGAGTAATAGTTCTATAAAAAATCACGTTTAAAAGCTGTTATAACTGTAAAAGGATGTTGTACTAAGTACTAAGATTGAATGTCACTTGGGGGTTGAATAAAAACTAATAATGATGTGAGCACAGAAAAGACATTTGTGGTCATTTCATTATAAACTGAAGGTTATATTTCTCTGACCTACAAGTGCCTCTTTCATGTAAATGTAAGCAAGATGACTGAATGATCAAAATCAATGTCAAAATGGCCAAAACATTCAATTTCAGTGGGGGTTGAATAATTTTGAACACAACTGTATATGATAATGATTCTTGTCTTATGACAACGGGAGCAATTTCATGGGAAAATATAGCTGAGGCTTGTCAGGCAGCTCATATGTATCTTCGCTAAAACCTGGAGCTCAGCCTCAGCCTGCAGGTGAGGAAAGAAGAGGGAGATGAGTCACTTTGATTCAAGGCGCAGGTATGTGTGTGGGCTAGCCATGGCGTTCCATGACACAAGAGCAGGCCCTGCTTGGAGAGATACCTCTGGCCATTCATCTTAATAATTGCCTTCAGGTGTCCACTGTGTTCCCGGTTCTAGTTTTATTCAGAATGTGGAGCTTGAGAGCTGGTGCCCGTTGTGGCTGGTGGTAAAGTCTCTGCACTTCATGGTAGGTAGAGGGAGGGGTGAAACAGGGACAGAAGTGGGAAGCATTCACAGGATGCGTCCATTCAGACATCAAGTTAGCCTTGTGACATTCATTCCACTGCTCAACCGAGCAAAAAAAAAACCTTGTGAATCTTATCTTCCCATCATATGTCTGAAACACAATCGTTTCATTTGAATTTACTGGTTGCCTTATTATACTTTATACCAAGTACCATTACCCAAGGTTTATGATATTGTTAAAATATCAAGCAGGTAGGTCTTGTGTTTGCACAGACGTTACCTTCTTACACAGTTCTCAGTTGAGTCTGATCCTTTCTACCTCATACTGCTCAGATACCTCCCATGTTGCAGGTTTTGTTAAACAGCAGTTGACTGACTGACTGACTGACTGACTGACTGACTGACTGATTGATTGATTGATTGATTGATTGATTGATTGATTGAACGTATATGCCACCCACTCTACCCAAAGGTCTCTGGGTGGCTTACAACAATTAAAATACAATAAAAAGATAAAACAATTACAATACAATTAAAATAGATACTCTAAAAATTGCCATCAGGACCCACAGTTGACATTATTTCAATTAAAAGCCTTCTGGAACAGGAAGGTTTTGACCTGGTACCGAAATGTCATCAGCGTCGGCACCAGACAAATCTCAGTCGGGAGGGTGTTCCATAGTCTGGGGGCACCTCATAGTCTGGGGGCAGCTGCCGAGAAGGCGCTTTGTCTACAAGCCATCCCTCTTACCTCCTTGAGGGATGGCTCTTTCAAAAGGGCCCCCTGGCTAGATCTTAATTGCCGAGTAGGCTCATATGGAAGGAGGTGGTCCTTCAGGTTTAGGGCTTTATATGTCAAACATATTAATGAACTTCTTAAACTGATTTAACTACTCTGATGTTAGGATCTTTAAACAAACAAACGCCAAACATGCAGCAGCTTTTCCTGCAGTTCAATGAGGATTCCCACATCCTTGATTCCACAAGGGTAGGAATAAATTTAGAATAAATATTGATTCAAGTCACTGTTACAAGTGTTCTGTGAATTGGAAAGCTTAGTAAACAAAATAGATGAAGCAAGTGGCCAATTACTGGTTTAACAACACGAGAAAAGCCAGTGTGCAGTTAAGAGTGTTGTACTGGGAGCTGGACAAGCAAGTTCCTATTGATCCCTGAAACTTACTGGGTAGACCTTGTCCCTTCTGTTTCATAGTGTTGAACCCATCTCACAGGGTTGGGCTTTTTTCTGGTTCTTCTTTTATTGAGACATTTTACCGTGTAAAGGAGGAAAGTATGAAGATTACACAGAAAACAAATAACAGAACTGTGCAAAGTCAAGTCACACAAACCAGATCAGAGAACAAGATTACAGACTGAGGTCATCCATTGAGTGGATCTTTCTAGAAGTCCCCATGAGGACATGAGATGGTTCACATATTGGTTACCTGTTCACGTTCACATAATTAATAAACAAATATGGTGTTATTGTTCCCAATAACTAGTATTTCTGGATTAAACTATCACATGTGGGAATGTGTGCCAAATTCCAGACATCTCATCCAATATTTGGGAGCCATTGTGCTATCAGTATGATCTAAGCCTTTGTGTTGGGGAGAGATACCGCTTACGTGCTAGTTTAAAATTGTGTCCTCTGAGTCTACAAAGGGGGGGGGGGAATTGAAAAGGTTTATTCTGATGCAAATGCTAGGTAGTGTTAGTAATGGATGTACCAATACCATTGTTCCTAATAAGTTTTGACATTGGTGAGTATCATCAGGAGGAATGAGTGAGGATGGCATGGAGATCAGTGGTAAGATCTCCCCAGTGCTCAGTAGCAACCAAGATTGCAGATTTAAATGGCAAAAATGATCTAGAGAGATGTGTCTGCAGCACAGGGATAGCTGTGAAACTGTTGATCTATGTCAGTTGAAATAAAGACATTTTACATACCTAAATTATTATCTAAGGGCTTGTTTACATGGGCTCTTTTTGGAACAGGTTGGTGTGGGCTAAAAAGGATTCCCTAAGGGCCAATGGAGGACCACTATTCCATTTGGTATGACCCTTATATCCAAATGACATACTCACCTCGTGACTCTATTTGGTCCTCTTGCCTGTTGAAAATATCCCCCTCCTTGCACTCTCTCCTCCAGTTTTCAGCAGGAAGTTTTCAATTTTTAAAATAAAAAAAATTATGTGATGCAACGCATTAATGCTGTCCTAATACAGTTTTTCAAAAATAACTTTTACTTTCTCTGCCCCTCCACAGAGCATAGGAAGTGTTGTATTTTGGATCAAGAAATGGCTAATCTGCCCTTTCAAGGCACTTAACAATATGCAAAGTTGAAAGTGCTTGCTTTGGTTTGATTCCAGCAATTGCACATGCTGGAAATGAAACAAAACAGAGCCATCCTATGTACACCAACAAAGTAGAAGCTACTGACTGGGAGCTAGAAAGGGGCAGGTAAGAACGCTCTGGGGATGATCTGATTTACTCTAGCAATTACATTGTGTACCGGTAATTGCCAGAAAAAGCAGCAAACCGGCCCATCCCTGCAGCGGACCAAACAGCAGGACCAATGCCCATCTGATCACACCGA